GAGGACTGAAAGGTCCTTTTGTAAGGTGAAACTCTAATATTGTGTTGCTGTTATTAAAGGTTAGTACTGCCTCTAGGAATTTGTGTACAGGTACGAGGCAAAATCCAACCCTGCTCAAAAAAGTATATGGTAGAGGGCAGAGGTAGAGATGAGAAAGAGAACTGATCAGAGCTCAAAAAAAATCTGTCAAAAGAATGAAAAGCTTGGAACTGATTGTATTGGAGAGAACACATATATGAGAAAATAAGAAAGAAGTATTCGTAGGAAACAGATGAAATATTCTTATTTCAAGAGGAAACAAAGGATGAATCAGTGCAGTTGAGTGTAAGATAGAAAATTAACAAAATTGTGTGCCATTAGCCTGTTGAACTTAATGCTGAAGCATAGCCCAAAAGAATTGGGTGCTAGTATTTAATAATAAAGTTGCATTTTTTTCGAAGGAGTGCGAATCCTTATATTGCAGGGTGGATCTGGCACTGGGTGAGAGCATTTCTTGGATTGAGATTAGCACATATCCATCTTCCCAAAGGTCTTCCAGCTTTGGAGGGTGGACAGGGTGTGATGCTATCTTCTCTCAAATAAAGGAACTGGAATAAAAGTGTGTGAGGTTTGATCTAATACTGCAGTGTCTGTGTTCCTAGAAAGTATGATGCAGAGGTTTGAAAAAGGAACAAGATTGTTTCAGTCATTGAGGATAAAAAGAGCCACAGATTAGAAAACACCTGCTGTTCCTTTCTCCTGTCTTCAGCAACACACCATTCTCTTACCGTTTTAATCTTTTTAAAAGGAATCAATAGGCTTTTTTTTCTTACCTAGGATCACTGATAAATTGACGTCATTTTTGTTGTAGAGTGAGTACTTTTCTGATCTAGCATGATTAAAATGTGAAGTTTACTGGAACATGGGCGGATTCTGCCCGTGTTGGGATTGGAAGGCAATTCCTTGTCTCATTTCCTGAGCTGCCGCTGCTGGCCCCTGCCTTTCCTTTTCCTTTCCTCTTCCAAAGGGTGATTCTCCCCATCTCCTGTTTGCAGATTTTCCTCTCGTTATGGTGTTTTCATTCTGGTGCTACAGTAACTTGTGAACGCCTCTTGGGAGAGGAGATAGACTAGAATGCCCTTTACTGCTTTTGTTGAAGGGCTCCGGAGAACACAGTGCGTGGAGAGTGGTCTGGAAAAGCTTGCAGCTGGGGGAGAAAGGGAGAGAGGGTTTCTTGCAGGAGTAGAATTGTCAGAAATCGTCCTTCAGTTGAGATTAATAGCGTTCAGAGCCCGAAAGAAAACACTGTATTCAACTTGAGCAGCTTCAAGAGGGACTTCCAGGGATGGATGTGGGGAGGGGAAAAAAGCTCTTTCCAGACAGGACAAAGGAGGACCACGTGGAGAAGGTATGGCACTGAATTGCAGGCTATTCCTTGTTAATCTCCTTCCCAACTTATTTCCTTCTGTCATCTGCAGTTTGTGGTGTCACATGTGAATGCAGAGCTCTGGGGAGGAGGACTGCTTCCTCCACGCTGTGTGGTGCGCTCAGCGCTTCGTAAATAGAAATAAGTGAGTAGAAGGGCGCTTGTCTGGAGATCTGTCTCCCTGTTGCAGCAGCTGGTGCGTCCCTGCGAGGCAGGTGCTCGCCTGTTGCTGCGAAGATAGTGCTAATGGTGAACCAAACAGGCATGTTACTTCTCTGTGAAGTGCTCTGAAACCCTGTGGCCAGGCTGGTTTTTCTTTTGTGATACTGCACTTTTTTTTTTTTTCCCCTCCTTCTGGGGAAAGCTGTTCATTTGGATTTCTGTATGAGAACTGGCAGCAGGAGAGGGGCTCCACATGTGCCTCATTTAGCCCGCTTTTTCTTCGTTTTCCTCACGGGGTGGTTTTTCTTCATGGTATATATGAAAGCTAGTTGTTGCCATACCTGTAGCTGAACAGTATATTATTTCTTCTTCTGTGGCGTTTGTGTATAGGATGGGAGGTGAGACAGAATTGCACTACATGATCCTTTCTGAACCTTGGAAACACTGACTACATTAATCTCTGTTTTCTGTGGACTGTGGGAAGTTGATCTGCATTGCCTGTAGCATCCATCTTCCTTCTTCCTTTTCATTAAAACCCTGCATATACTTTTTAAGTGTCTGGGCTGAGCTGACTTTCTGCAATGATCAGGAAGTAAAATGTTCCCTAATGCGCAGTCTGTCCCGGTAGTACGCATCTTGAGAGAAGAGATGACAGGCTTCTACCTTCCTATAAAGCATGAGATGTTAGATATGTCTACACGCAATGTAAAGTTCCCTTGCTGGCTGCTGCATGTTTGTGCCCTCATCCTTGATAATCGAATGAGGCAGGCATATTTGTCCTGGGTTTGTGAAACAGCCTTGTTGGCCTGAAAGGTCCCCATCAGAGACACGTCTTTCAAGTGTAACATCATCCTGACTGCTGTGTCAGACTGCCTCTTTCATCAAGTGGTTGAGAAGGTAATTAAATGAGAGTTCTGGGAAAAAAGGAACTAAAAAGTGGGCACCATGGTTTAGGTGGCAACACAGTCACTGCTTGGAGAACACATGCTGGTGGCCACTGCATGTTGCTAGTTCTTTGTGTTTTCTGTTTTAAAGCATCATGCTAGTAATCTAGTTAACATTGAGCTCGGTTTCCAGTACAGTAACTTGTTTGGTTCAGTAAGAACACATTTAAGCTAAAGATTAATGAAAAGAAATTTCCTTCCCTTGAATTCATTAAAAATTGTTCTACAATCAGCACTTGAAAAGAGATTAAATATTCATGTCTGTAAATTTCTCATGTCATTTCTGATTTTCCTTAATGTCTGCCTCCCTGGGCTGGATTCTGAAAGTGTCCGAAAGCTCTAGTGAAAAACTATTTTGAATGTAAATTGCAGATTTATCCTCTGTAAGGAAGAAATACCTTCACATTTGTGTACTTGAACACAGGTTTAGTTTCTGTTGTAGAGGGAGAGAAATAGTGATGAGGTCTTTTCCATGAATACAATATTAGGAACAGATTTAAAGGAGCAGTATTATGTTCTTGAAGCACTTCTAAAGAAATACAAAGAAAGTTTTATCTTTTGTTGTGAGAAAGCCTTATTTGCATTATTGAAATAGTTTGAGTGACCAAAAGTGCAGCAAAGTTTACATCAGAAAGGTATTAACTGGACATGAAGACAAAACATGAATAATGAATATCAAAGATGCTGCTAAAGGATTCGAGTACTACTTATAACAGAGTCAGTGTCTAGACACAGTTTCTACAAATGGATGGTAGTTTCTATGGTCTATTACCCAGTAGCTCTCAAGCGAGTTTTAGCTACCCTTTGGGCGAGAGGCTTTGCCATTGTTTCACCTATGAGCAGAAAATGTTTCTACGCTTACTGCTTTGTGCGGGGTCTTGGTAGCCCAGCTTAGGGAAATGCAGACGCTCTCTTTGGGAACTCCTTGCCTTCTGTACGTGGATGTCATTGCTGATGTAGTAATGGAAATACATGCTGGCAAGAGATAAGAGTTATTTTGAGGATATTGCATACTCCCATGAGCGAACACTCTTGTAAACATGTTCAAAATTATGAGTGTCTAGGCTCAGTCTAAGCAAGTGCATATATATACTGATACTTCCAGTGTGGTTGGATTGGGTTTTTCATTAGTAGTTCTTAGCCTGGCTCACACCTCTGATCACGTTTCAGTTCTTTTACCTGGCTGCTGTAACTGCTGTTGCTCATTGTACTTTCTAGCCCATCATATTTAGCATGGCTAAACCTATGCCCATCTTTGTCATTCCTTTTGCTGGTTTCCAGCTTCTTCTCCTTGTTCTTTTTTTCTGCAGTCTTGTTTTCTCCCCACTCTCTGTTCTGACTTGCTGCGTTCTCCACAGTTCCCTCCACTTCTAGCTCTTGCTCCCTGTTACATGCCCTTTAGCTCACCCTGGTGCTCTTCCTGTTTTTCTCTGGTTCCATCAAAATGTCCCTCCAATAACTCTTCCTGCCTCACTTCACACGCTCTCTGGCTTGGGTTATTGGATTGCCTAGCCCCTCGTCACTGACTCCGAGTTCTTAGATAACGATTTCAGCACGATACTGCAGCTTTATAGTACTGCATATCCGTCTGCTTGGCGCTCTGGCTGATACATTTTCTGTTCCTCTAATTCTCAGTTCATTCATAATAAAACTGATAAGAGGTCCCATCTTAAACATGTAATAAGAAAGACCATCTCCTGATGGCTCTGCCTTGCTTTGTGTACCCAGAACACTCTCCCTTTTCTTTAGCAAAGCAGTTTTCAGCATTCTTAATCGGGCATCCTGGTTCAAAAATGATTCTATAACTAAAACAGTGATGTTCACGTGTTACCGTTAGTTCGAATCCTGACTTGCCAAGGTGATTGCAGTGCAAGACGGGTTGTGGATGAACAGAGGATGTTTGCCCCACTCAGCACGTGGGACAGTGCTGGGCAGTGTCTGTCCGAGGGGGGCCTGTGGAGGAGGCATGTGGAGAAGGAGGAATCGGCTCCTGTCTGGAACTTTGCATAGAAGACTCACTGCAACTTGAGCCTTCGATATAGTTTGGTCTCTACTAGTACAACATATATATTGGACATTGGTAAGAACTGATGAGCACGTTCCTTGTATGCTGTGTGAGCCAAGAGAGTAGAAAGAGAGTTCTCAGTAGAATATGTATTTGGTTATAAGTAGATAAGAACACATAACTTGCCGAGTGCAAGGGAAAGGCTTTGTCTAAGTAGCTATTACCATCTTTGGTCTCCAGCACAGTTTAAAGGCATTGCCAGGGTTGAGAAAGCTATTGCGTAGTGGGGAGAGCTGACTGGGTGGGCAGTCACAAACCAAACTGCAATGTTGGATTTTTCTGATTGTGACCAGAGTGACCAAAGAAACCAGAATGTGCTTATGTAGCCCAGTGTCCACCAGCATGAGGTCCCTGCTCAGGCAGATTTGATATTTGTGACTTGTATCAATTCAGTAATGGGCTTTTCTTCCTTTTGGTTTTTCAGGCATACTTCCGACAGGGTGTGGCCCTTCAGTATCTTGGACGTCATGCAGATGCACTGGCAGCATTTGCATCGGGGCTGGCTCAAGATCCCAAGAGTCTTCAGCTTCTGGTTGGCATGGTCGAGGCCGCCATGAAATCTCCCATGCGAGGTAAGCACCAGGAGATTTTCTGAAGGATAGTGCTCCGCAGCTGAGGCACTTAAAGAGGAAGTAGTTTCAGTCCACGTGTGACTCTGAGGTAGCATCTGAGGGGAAGAGGATCTGGAGACCCTCAGGGAAAGATTTCAGGATTTGACTTTTCTGCAAAGTCGGCAGGTGCTGAGAAAAGACCTCAGAGGAGGAGGAGGAGGAAGAGGATAATATTCTCTGATGCAGTGGGACAGCCAGATGGTAATACCCAACTGCAGAGACACTGGAGCTGAATCCAGCTGCTGCTGTGGAGCAGTTCTTATGAAATCCTTGCTCTTTTGTCTTTCGTCTAATATCGGTACAGATGAAGAGAGGTGCACTGCAGTGGCCCTGGCTTTATTATTACTTTGAACAGTTTCCCTTAATGCTCTGGTGCTTGGATTTTGGCAAAAGGGAGTCTTAAATGCTCAGTACCAGTGTTTGCCCAACAGAGCTCTTCAGCAATTTTTCCATAGTGTTTGTGTCTCCCAAAACACAGTGTTCCAGAAAAGGCAGAAGGCTGTTGTGCTATTTCACTTTTATTCAGGAACAGTATTAAAATCACGTGGAGCTTGAGGTAGTATTAGCTGTACCACGTTTGCCTTTCTTTCATGATGTCCCATTTCCAGGGGCAGGGATTTTTTTTCACTGAAGGAATGAGGTAGTCTCTTTTTTCCTAATGTTTTTCCTGCAAGCTCTTTATTGCAGTGCCTTAATGGTATTTCCCAGGAGGAGCATAGCAGTTCTCATCCTCTGCAGGTACTGCTGGGGGCTGCAGGGCTCAGTGGCCAAGCAGCACTGAAATGAACAAATATCCCCATCAGTATTTTTGTCTTCACAGTGTTTTTTCTCCACCCAAAATTAATGCATCTGGAGGTTTCTTTCCTATATAGCAGTTGCCTTGTGAAGATAATTTCATTTTGTACACAGAGGTACTGTGGCTGCTGCTTAGAATGTAGGTTTAGATGTGATACCAGGCTCACTGTTTTCTGTCTTTCAGTGATTTGTTTTTATAAGTGAGACTAGGTCTGCTGAATGAGTTTGGTATAAGCTGCTAACTTCTCTCATAGGATAGCTCTTGTTGTGCACGGACAAGGTTTTAGTTGCTTCTGAATTTTGAAAAAATGCTGCGATTTCTCATCGGGGCCAGTTCTTTTGGTGACGTTGCACTTCTGTATAAGCATCCCAAAATCAGGCTGGATAACCTCACTGTCCTGTCGTATTGCAGCTGCATATCTATACTGCTGCTCCCTGCTATACTGCTCAATTTTGCTACTTTCCTATTATCCTTCCACTGACAGGTTTAATAGATTTTTTTTTTTTTACATTAGCTTTGCTTATGAAGCGTTGTTTTATGCTGAGTGGGTGTGTATCCTGTGCTGCTGTGCTGTACTAGTGTAATGATACCCTATTCAGGGTCTTGGTCCCACCAGGCACGCTACAAGCTCTGAAATAGCTACCACCTGTTGTTCTGGCCCCCTTTCCATGGGCTTGCTGTCTAAGAGAGGCATAAAAGATCTGTCCAAATAGTATGTGTGGTGTAAAACCAGCCCCCTGTAATTTGAACCAAGAAGCATTGATTAAGTAGTGTGCAGTGCATCTCGCAGGTACGGGGTGCTGGCTGAGTTGAGGGCAGCCGTCAGAGGTATAAAATGGGGTGAGCTATAGACAGACTCATGTGAGGGGTGGCTTCCGAGATGCTTGCGTTCAGAGAAAGAAGTAGAACGGTTGAAAAGGCAAAAGGGTTATAATAAGTGTCTGGGCTGTGCTAAAGATTGTTCAGTGCAGACACTGAGGGATTCAGGGAGCACAGATCTGCGCTATGTATAGATGAAGCCGAAACCCTGTTTCACAGTAACTGAATCACTGTTGCTGCACCTTCACCTGATTGTGGCTACGTCTCTTCCCTTGCTATTGTACGGGAGCAGTAATGAGCTCCGTGGCCTCCACTGCCATGCTGGTTCTCCCTTTCCTACTGGGCTGTAGGGCTGCCAGGAGTTTTCCGTTTGTATTTTTCTTTTTCATCCTTTCTCCTCACCTGTATGCCTCTCTCCCCATATTCACCTGCGTTACCTAAATAGGATTGTAAACTCCTAAGACAGGGACTGAATTCATACCTGTTCCTGCAGTGCCATGCCCCTTAACTGTGCTCTATCAGCAATAATCAGCTTTGTGTCCTGGTGGCGTATTACAGCGCAACTTCTGTCTTGCATCTGTGTTTAATCCCAGTATCCAACTGGTTATCACCAACTGGCATCGCATACGCTCTGTTCGCTTCTTCAGAGAAGCGTTAAAATCCTGTTTTGTCGTTGTTTGTGCACACGTTGTGTGGTTATAGAGAGGCAAAAATGATGAAAATGGAGAGCAAATGGTTGTCTGAGGTTGCTGTGGTAACGTTGATTCGGGCAAGAGCAATCTAATCGAGAAATGTGACCCAATAAATTTTGAAGATAACGTTTTAACCCAGCATGGTTGGGTGGCGTGCAGCAAATTCTGGAGTCCTGTTATATTGATGTCCGTACTGAAACAGGCAGCCAAGCGTTAATCTGAATGATAAAAGCAAGTAGACCAATTCTAACTAGTCCGGCAGGTTCAGTTTCACTGCTTCGCAGGAGCTTCTGCAGCTCCGCCCTGTTTATGAGAGCAGAGAGGACTGTGGTTTGAAGAGGTTCTTTCCTGTAGATTTTGTCTTCTCTGTTGGCCCAGGTTGTGTGCTGTGATACCTGAACAAGCACAGGTGTTACCAGCCATTAAGCCAAAAGCTTGTGCTGAAGGAGCAGAGAATGCAGTGCTCTCATACACTGGTGATGGCACGTATTCAATTTCCTGCAAAACCCTACAGTTTTCTTCTGTATTCTCAGTAGAGGACTGCTCTGTATTCGCGTGTTGTCTTCCTGAGGTCCTTGCTGCAAGCAAAACATCAACTTACTTGTTATGTATCCTGTCCTGATGTGCTCGTGCTGGATGTTAGAGGATGTGTTTGAGCGCTGAGTTCCCGTAATAAATCTTGGTTTGATTTGGGCTGTCTGACTGTTAGCTCGCACATGCCAATTGGTTACCAAAATTGAAGATGAGGTGTTAGGCTGATTTCTAGATGTAAATAACGTAGTTTGTTGAGTAACTCTGCCTTACTTTTTGTCTTTTAGAGTCCCTGGAGCCAACCTATCAACAATTGCAGAAGATGAAGCTGGACAAGAGCCCCTTTGTTGTGGTGTCTGTCATAGGCCAGGAACTTCTGACTGCAGGTCATCACGGTGCCTCTGTGGTTGTGCTAGAAGCTGCCCTGAAGATTGGCACTTGCAGCCTGAAGCTGAGGGGATCGGTATTCTCTGCCCTGAGCAGCGCTTACTGGTCCCTGGGGAATACGGAGAAAAGTACCGGATACATGCAGCAGGACTTAGACGTAGCCAAGACTTTAGGTAGAGTTCTCATTTCACTCACTTGAGTGCTGGATTGGTACAGGTGGGACAAATTAATAGTTATGTCAATAGCATAAAGGAAGGGTAGCATCTTTCTATAACGCTCAGGTTTCTCTGGCATTTCACAAGCTGCTAAAGCAAATCTAGGATTTTTGAAATGCACAAACTACAGGCTTGCGCAGCCCTGTGTACCTGTTGTGTGAGAGGGCAGATGATCAACAAATGAGCCAAGCTTTAACAGGGTCCTCTAATTCTCTGGTGTCATGTATATGGGAACTAGTCTTATCCCCTGTGGAGATTTGGGCTCAAAACCTTAAATGAAGCCATCTACTTTCTCAAGAATTAGATGGAAAGGGGGACTCTTACCTGAGCTATTCAGGCAGTTGCCAGGGAAGGAACAAATCAGGAGCAAGACAATGGCTGACCAAGAGTTAAAGAAATTGATAAATCCTTCTGATATGTGCAATATATCCTGCACTGCTCTGAGAGCTTTCACGATGCTATAGGAGAGGAGAGAGTGTGTGAGCCAGAAAGGCGTAAGCTTGCAGACGTGGAGAAGATAGTGACTGAGGACCATAGCTAGAAGAGTTGGCCGAAAGTATAGGGACTGCTGTCTGGAAAACGGTAGTGGCTATACTTTGTCTGAGCTGAGTTGTGCTGCAGAACTGCTTTCTGGAGAAATCTAGCGTGCTCTCTGTGCTATTCTAAGCTTGGGCCATCCACTTATTCTCACAAACAAATTGCTAATGTCAGACAAAGAATAAACATGGAAGAATGGGAGACTGACAGGTGTTAGGCCAAAGAAGAAATTAATGCAGTTCTAAAATAAGGTTGAGGGTTATTTTAGAAGTTATTGAAGGCCAGGGAGAAGGAGTAGAGTTCTGGCTGTATATTAAATGTTAGGCTGAGTGTTTGTCTTGATTCTGGTCCTCGCTCTGGAGCATCACTTCTACAACATGTTCCAGTTTTTCTGCTGGATACTTCTAATGACCCCTTTGTTAGCTAACCTTTGTTTTGTTTGCATGTGAGAGCTCATGGAAATCTGGGCTCCGCATTCTTCTCCAAAGGAAATTACCGGGAGGCCCTTACTAACCACAGACATCAGTTGGTGCTCGCCATGAAACTCAAGGACAGAGAGGTAGGAAACTTATTAAATAGACTGGATTGGGAATCAGCGCTGTGTGGTTTTCTAGAGAGATGTGAATGTGTCAAGAAGCCTTGTCTGTCTGCCCTGTTATTCAGAGTATTTGGAAGCTATATGATTTGTCTTCCCAACCTTTCACTTGCCTTTTGTTATGGAAGTTGTATGCATGAGTAGATACAGTATTTTTGCACAAATGACAGGATGCTTGGTTTGTACGATGGCTTCCACGTGCCTCTGACCCGCTTTGAGCAAGTCATTCTCTCTCTCTCCATGCCCCTGCTTCCCTTCCTGTCCGTTTTGCCTCCTTTGCATAGACTCTAGGATCTCAGGGTAGAGGCTGTTGCTGAGTAGGTGTGGCTGCAACATCTTATGCAGTTAATCCGTGACTGTCATCAGCTCCGGTTTTTCCTGTGATGTAGATGCTGCTAATTGGAGCTGTATTAGGGCACGTCATGTGTTGTGCCTTTTCCAGACAAGTAATGAGCCAAGTCCCTATCCCAAACGTTCACAGTCTCCATAAAATCAGCTGTGTTTAAAAAGTAGTGAAAAGAAAAAGAATCCATGCAAACCCCAAAATACACTGTTGTGTAAAGCGTAGAGGTTGTTTGGTCTGTATCTGCTTTGCCTTGACTGTTTACTGGTCAGCTTTCAAAGTGTTATGCTGGGCTCTCTGCCAATCCAGGGAAGCATGCTGCGTGAACTGAAGAGCCTGACTCAAGAGATTCCCACTGAAAGTTCACTCTAAGGACAGAATCATAATTTTAGTGCAAGTTACTCTCCAGTGGGTTCCCCTCTAGTCTGAATGGAGGGGTTGGGGGTTGCATGACAGATTAGTGAGTGGCTGGAGGGAGCAGGACAGGTTTGAAGTCATGTAAATGCAAATTAAGGTTTTGTGAGATCCAAAAAATGGGGGAATGAGTTTCTTACCAATGACTACTTGAAAGATCCATTTAAAATAGTTAAGTGGTTTATTGAAGTATTGCTGTGCTTTAAATATCGAGTAAGCCTTTGAAAAATGCATCTTTCAGTAGTTGTAGAGGGACTGTGATTGGGGATGGGACTTGCTAAACAATTTCATGATTATTTTACCAGCTGGAAAATCTCCTGAATCACTCCTGATTTCCCTGTTTCGATTCAGGTTAAGCAGAGAAGCTGTTACCCATCATTTTTTATAGCTTTCTTGATTAGGGGTCCCTGTTGTTGCTAAGAATCTCAATCTTTGTAACTGCTCCTCCTCCTCCCTGGGATTTCTCTAAGCAGCAGATTTTCTCCTCTGCAGTTGCGGGGAGGGGTTGAAGGAGGGAATGGTGGGAGCTTGCCGTGCCAGCATGTGGAGAGACTGCCCTAGGCTGTGCAGAGTGCCTGAACTGACCAGGGCAGCAAGTCCTGGTGTTATCCACTGGCTTCAGGGCTTTGATCTATGCACATCCCAACAGTTAATCTGGGAGGAATCCAGAAAATGCAGTCTAATTGTGATAGTTCTCAGTTTATGACGCATCTGGGCACGTAATTAACAGTTATTGACAACAAATGACTACTCGGGTTAGCAAGAAAGCTGAGCTTCTTGGATTTCCTATAGGATGTAACCACAGGAAATTAATTTGGCGCTTTCTGATGACATCATCTTGACCACAGAGCTTCCTCCGAACAAAAAGCTGTTTTTCTTGGCCTCCTTTGCAGACGTTTTTATAATGCGAATATTATAAAGTTGCAGTAGTGCTGATGTGAATCCCACCAGAAGGGAATTTGGTGTGTGACTGTAATGAGGTAATTGTTTTACCTCCAACTGTACAGAGAATTGGCTTAGAAGGTAAAAATGCTCCTTTATATGAATGCCTGCTGTCCTTGCAGGGGGCTCTGGGCTCTGAGGCTGCTGCAGCACGTGTTTGTACCCCAGGCTTCTGCCAGGTTGAGATTATATTTGGATTGCAGTTAAAGACAAGATGTAGCACAGCTTGGTTGTCTGTCATTTCTCTGTGAAGCTGAAGCATAGCAGATTTCAGCATGGGCTGTGTTTGGCCTGCTGCAGGCTGTGGGTATGTCCTCAAGCCGAGGATCTCTGGTGCTGCTCGGTTCACGTCTCCTGCGCTGACTGAGGTAAAGCTGATGTAGATGCACCTCTCCATGTTCCTGCTGTGCTACTGGTGGCAGTGTGGGTGTCACTGGCAGGTCTTTTATAGTCTTCAGGTAGATAGCAGAAGGCTTGACCGTATGCTCACAAGTGCAGCTCATTTGAACACTCTGCAACCACCGGCACATGAAAATGGCCAGCAGCGTGGGCTGTAGCAGCGTGTGTGTGCATCTGGTGTGGTGGTAGTGGGGGGTAGCATCTTTAGGGAGAGCCATTAGCACTAGGTCAAGCTAAGACCTCTTTCATTTGTGTGCAGAGAAGGAAATACAACACTGTTAGGCTATGGCCTTGATAGAGGAACCATTTGGTGAAATGTTGCAGCCTGAGTTAGCTGGAAGCTGCATTTGATGCCACCAGTGCCCTATAGATACCAAGTCAAAAATCACTCAAGGTTAAATATACAGGACAGGGCTCACCTGTGACAACACAGCTAAGTACTGCTAACTAAAGGTCTCTCCACTCAAATGGGAAATAAATCAAACTTTTTAAGGGGAGAGATGGTGGAGCAGAAGACCAGCTGCAATAATTATTAGAAGTCTAGAGAGAAGATAAACTGTAATGAATTCCTGAATCTTCATGTGAAAGATCTTGTACATGCAAGTAGGCTGGAGCAGGGTTGCAAGGCAGTGTTTCACGTAAAGGATTTAGTTAATCCTTGGTATAACTCCCTGGGTTGAACTCGACACCGAACTTATAATCTGTTTCCTGTGATCATCTCTCAGGGAAAATAGGTGGTAAATTTAAACTCTAGGCAGTCTGCTACCAGATCAATGCAAGACCCTATTACATCTCAGGAGTAGCACTACAAGGTCATTCTTCTTTTAAGAACCTAAAGGTGCCAGAGAAGCTGTCCCCTTCAAACCATAAGTTGCAGTCCTACAAGTTCCTTTTCAAATTCATTGGCCTACTTTCTTAATGCTAGACTTCGAGGTGTGGTGGCTAAAGATGCAATCTGACTGTGTCTTTGCTGCAGAAAACTTGCCAGGTTGTGGCAAGGACAGCGGCATGTGTCAGCTCTCATGTGAAGATATTGGCTCACGTGGCTATTTCTGCCTCACTGCAGAGGCGGATGGAAGACCGAGAGTTCACCTAACTACCTCATGTAAAAGCTGCTTGTGTCTTGGCCGTGTGGGGATTTACGAGCTCGCTAATGTGTGTTTGCTATTTTGCAGTGGAAATTACCTGTTTTTAATAATGGAGATGCAGACTGTTAATGTCCATATTATAATTGTGAAACAAATACTCTGTCTTTAATACTGGGTAACCTGATCTTGTGAAAGCTGTGAGGCAATCCATGTAACGCATGCTGGTGCCACATCATGAGCTCTGATTTAGAAAAGGATAATGCAACTGATGAGCTATGCCAGGGTCAGAGGAAAGATGAGAGTCAAAAAGTACCTTTTGAAAGCTTTTGATGTCCATAACAGCTACTGCTCCCATGTCTCTGTTCCTCTTATCTCTGCCTCCTCTGTAGGCATGCAGCGTTGTCTCGTGCTACAAAATCCTGTATGTGCTGTTACTTGCCTCTGCACTGCTGAGTTCCAAGTTTGAGCTAACTGCTGGAGATCTCTGCCAAGATGGGCTGGAATGACCCTTTGCGATGACCGTTTTTCACTTGTGTTCCTTTCAGATCATTCAGTTTGATAGAGTACTACTTGAGAGAGGGTTGTGAAGCTGTGAGGACTGATAAGCAGAAATTAAAAGGGAAAGGAAAGCTGCGAAGCAATGTGTTTCTTATTGAGCAATGGAGCCCTTCCTGCGGGATGCAGCGTTCAAACCGCGCGTGCGCTGCACTTGAATTCTTGTCTTCCAGCGGCCGCTGATACCACAGAGACTCCGCAGTATAATAGTTCCCTCTCGCTTGGGCCTTCAGACGCCTTCTATTACAGCCCTGCATTTAAAAATAGCAGGGCAATGAGGCAAAATCATAAACCAACTATAACAAAATTAGTGCTTGTGTGGAAGTATATTGCCAGCACTGAGCTTCCAGGAAGCCAAGTGTTGCCAGAAAGCCACTGGGTGCTGGCAGCATGCATGCGCTCGCTGGCCAGTACGCTGGAGCTGAACTGGGCCTTGTGTTAAAGATGCAGCATCATCCTCTTCACTAGGCAAGGAGCAATGAAGGAGTTTGGTTAGGAAGAAAGGACCGTCTCTTACCCTGGGCCCTCCCCTGGAGTTGGAAAGGAGACACAAGTTATGTGACTCGCGGGTCCATTTCCTACTGTCCCTTTTCCCAGGAAGCATGACCACAGGCAGGGAGGGGAGATGGGAGGACGGGACAAATGGACTGTAGGTGCCAGACCTGTTCTGTGCAAGGAAGAAGGCGTCTCGTCCCCGTGTTGACTGAGGATGCCTAGCAACTTGCGAATGATCATTCTCAGTCAGGTTTTGAAGGATTCCCTCCACTTCCCCTCTAGAAGCAGCTATTTTTGGAAGGAAAAGTTACAGAACTGGCTGAGCTTCAATGTCCTCTTGTTTCTGTGTTACCGTGGCCAGTGGCAGCTGTGCTCAGGCAGGTATCTTCATCAGTGTTTGTGGTCTCAGAGTCGTCTGCAGCAGGTGGATGTGTTAATGACCAGACTGATGATGCAGAGTCTCATGGCATGAGATGGTTTCTTGGATCTGTTGCTGTGCCGAGGAAAACACGGACTGGCATTGAGCCATAGCTGACCTTGCTATTCTAAGCCTGCTGAATACCAAATGCTCGAGTTAGCTGTTTCCCTAACTGTATGATTATTCTATGTTGCTTTCACTTGAAATGAAGCCCATCAAGAACAAAAGGAGCATGTAGCATCATGCTGCATCTTTCTTTTCCGCATGGCTTATGTGTGCAGTAGATGCCTACATTTTGAGCTGAGAGGAT